GGGGGCGGATGTGTACGAATTCCAACTTCTTCATCCCATAAGAAAGAAAACAATACCAGAATCAACCCAGCAAGTCATCCCCATAAACCTATCAGTAACTTGCAAGTGGTATTCTTTAATATTTTATTCTATATTGGCATATAGGCAATCTGCTGACAGGGGTCGTCATTACTCTAATTAAGACAAACATGAGGCATTGTTTCCCAGGAGAAATAAGGACTGCTGGGGAAGCTGAGCCTGCTGTATAATTCACCTGTACTCTATAACTAATCTCCAATATTAATACACAAAGGGACTGGGGGGGATTGATCCGTTTGTTAAATACCATCGCTCTTTTCCAGATGTAATGTACTGGGGAGTATTTGACATCATTCTCTACTTTGAGCCCTTTCAACAGGTATTTAGCATGCCACTTTTTCTTCATATGCAAATAATAAAGGCATTCATTTTACACAGGTGCAGAGGCTGTTTCAACATCACTATTCAGAACTGAGGGACTCTTTTTTTCTGCTTTACTAAGATGTTGACATTTATAATAATTGTTGCATTTGTGCCAAATGAATAAGGGGCTCTCATAGAGGCCACCGCCAAGCCCATAGATTGTGCTACTAGTAAATACAAATTGATATAATACATGATTTGCACTAGTGAGTGTCAATATTGTTGGCAAAATATATACTACTTATGCTTATTATTGACATACTTTCTGAACAGCAACCCATCACAAATTACACAATCTCATTCCCATACAACAGGTGGTTGCTAGGAGTCAAAGGGGGCAGATTAAGAAATAAGAAGAATGCAGAAGGTATCTATTAATTCTATTGCTCAGAGATGCCCAAAGATATATAAACATAAATGCAGGCAATATTTGTGGCCAATGTTACATGTGTATCCGTTACCATGGTAATCAGTTGCCATAGCAACACAGTCAATTATCTTAATACTTGCTCAACATGACATGAGCGTGACTCTCTTTTGGCTGTCACAATGCTTATTAATCATTTATTCCAAGACCAGCAATATCTAGTTCCACAGCTGAGAATCAATACAAGATCAACATAACTGTGCGGCTGTATTTCTTGGAAATTTTCAGACATGAGATTTACCAGGAAAGAAGAGATAATGCATCTGCAGGTTACAAATAAGATACATATTCAATATAGAAATTTATCTTTTGAAGAATTTAGGCCATTTTCCCTAGCTCCTAAGTATACAAAAATGCATCTTACATTTCAGATAAGATAAAACAGGCTTTGAAAATTTTTACATTATGCAACAGCATGAAAAAAATTAAATAAGCAATTCATAAATATGAGCATGGCAAAATGCTAAATTCCTTATGACAAAATTCAATAAGTTAGAACTTTTCTATATCCCAATGGAAACTAAATATACAGCTAAAAACAATATTTTCATCAGGCTTATAATAAATACTCCCAGCTCAAATTTCCATTTCGATAATGTATAATATTCTTTTAAGGGTCAAATATCTTGAAACTTCAAAGTTTATATTCACGCTTCTCTAGGGTCAGTGTACATTTATTTAACACGAAAGACTGCTTTCATACAAAAGAAATCATAGCAATGAACACTCTCTTTTTTTCAGCTGTGATACTGATATTCAAGCCTACCCAAACTTCAAAACCAAGTTAACCTGATGCATGTAATGAAACAAATATATTGTATTCACATAAAAAAATTCTAAAAGAAAAAATTCAAACCCAGATTCACAGATGAAAAATGAAGGCGCTGTGACTTTTTTCTCAGTCATAAGATGTTTAGACATCAATATTTTTTTCATGCATTTTCACCGACAACAAAAAATGGCAACAAAATAAATTGGAATTATACTTTTCAGGCTGAAAGTGATCACACTTAATGCATGCATAATGAAATGAAAAATGAATACTGAACCTCTCCGTCTTCTAAACTTGACAGCTAAAAAGGTATGATGATGTATGTGACCAGTCAAACTACATAAGAACGAAATTAAATCTTAAATTTCATTCCCTTTTACACTGATTTGTGTCTATCAATCAAGTTGAAAAAAGAAAAACAATCTTTCACTCTTTTAGGTAAATGAACTTAAGTTGTTTTTCTATTTTCTTTTTTTTTTGTAATTTAATCAGCCATCATTTTATTGGACTTTTTTTGTATCAAAATGAAAATCTACTGGTCAAATTATATGTACTGGACTTTCAATTTCAAAATTGCACTTTACCCTGTTCTTATCTTTTCAAATAAAATTAAATTATCATGTTACCTTTATAAACTTATACAATTTATAAAAAATACTAAAACATTACAAAGTTTATATTCGAAATAGAACATGGTGTAAATCTGTATCTTAACCCATGTTATTTTTTTTTCAATTGTACATGACAATTCTTTTATAACTTTTACTCAGCTATGCTTAGAGTTTTAAAATCTGGTAACTATTTTAAATATTATTTAGTATCTGCATGTTATATTAATAATATCCTCAAAAAGTCCTTTGCCCCCTACATTAAAAAGGTTTTTGGAAAACATATAATGACAGAGTAATACTTTACTTTGTCACAATCTCAGTCAATAAGTTTAAAAAACTGGATAATAATCAATGTTTTGATATACTTTTCAAGCTTTATATATGTAATACTTATCGTTTTTCATTAACAGTAACTGATATAAATATCTTAACGAAAGTACATAAATTTTTAAACTGAATACTCACCAATCCATTTTTGTTTTTGTCATCCCTTCTTGGGCTTATAATCTTACCATACCTAAAAGAAGAAACATATAAATGGTGGTGATAAAACCTTGTCTAATACTTAAGGGACTGATTGTC